GCTGCACTTGCAAATGCACTAATTACATTACATTGCAACTACAGCTCCACTACACTGCACTACAACTACAGCTACAACTGCAAGTAAGGTGACCACTGCAACCATTGCAACCATTCGAAAAAATACAACCCCAACCACCTGTCGGTCCATCAGTGGATTCGCTCTGCCATCCGTGATTCACAACAACCAACCCTTCGTATAGGTTTCCCATTTTTGAAACTTCCACCACCGCCTTGCGCGGCACTACTGGTATATAACATTATATAACTAATATATTTATATAGATCATATATGTTGTAACCCTAGCATTTCCAGTTTTCTTCCCATGCAGATCAACTTAAAAGATAGAACTATCAAACATATTATTTGAACACATATATATACCTTACATGCCAATAAACTTCAAATATTTCGTTGATTCTTATGGATTTTCAGGTATTTTCACCATTTTCAACACTGCTCAGCTGAGGATAGAGCCTTGTCCAAGTCAAGACTTTGGGTTCTGTGCTGAGTGACATTTTCACCACAGGTCTCCGACGCAATGGAACCTCTTTTAGCGCTTCACTGAGGTGGCGTTTGATCCCTGCCTCAAGCGGAATGAAACGACTGACACGAACCCATATGGCTGTAGCAGGACAGTAAATTTGCAGATTACTGCAGTTAAATTGCGACCTTGCGCCAATGCTGAAGTGAAGTACATGTGCTTAATGCTGGGTATTGTTTGGAGACATCTTCCAAGACTGATGCCCGGATGCTGTGGCAGGACAGTGTGAACACATCGCGCAAGGTGTGTTCCTTGACGATGTGACCGCTGTAGCTCGCGGCAACTGCCAAAAATCCCGGGCACAGCATTAAAAACGACCAAGTCAGACATTTGAAGGCTGAGTTTTTACGAACTGCGGACAATCCAAATTGCAGTTCGACACCTTTTCAATCCGGTGGCCAGGGGAGCTCCAATGGCGACTTGTATACGTTGTAGAAATTGGATGAAATTGTTGGTTGCCTTGTTGGAAGTTGAGCCTATCCAAATTTAGGTCCAAATTTCATGAATCTTCAAGATATTTGTCATTTTTTTGCATACTCCAAACTATTCATGTTCATCTTTTCATGTTAGCCAAATTTAGCATTTCCATTTTTTAAATGTATTTTTTGTTGGGATGTTGAAACTGTACCATTGAAACTGATCACCTGCTATCGCTCACCTGGTCAAGCGGTGGACACCACGGCGGCGTTGCAAAAACGGTCGGAGAATCCTTCTGTCGACTTGGCGAGACTTGGTTTTGGGGAAAATTTACAGGTTTCACCATGTTCCACCATGTTTCACCCCCAATTTGGTGGTAAAATATTGTAAAGACCATGGTTATCCTGTAGATTTTCCCTGAAATCAATCCATTGGCTCTTGTTCACTCTGGCAATCGGCAGTCTGATGTTTGGTCGCACTGAATTTTATCGGATTCTTTACTGAATTATCCTGACGTGGACGTGGGTCAATTTTTCAAACCCGCGACATGAATGGCTTAAGTTTAAGTGGAGAGCGCTGAGAACTTGGAAGTAGCATCAGTCGTCACCATGAGATTCTTCGTGGTTTTTGCGGCCTTGGCGCCCTTGCTGGCACTTCGTGGGGCTTCTCTTGGATCCTCACACGACGGCAGCAGCATGTGCCCATGCATAGGCAAAGACGACCGCTGGGAGTGTGTCAAGGAAAAACTGGCGAGCTACGTATCATGTCCTGACGACTTTGGTATTGGCTGCAAGACCCACAACATAAGCGAGGACTGTGCAGTTTCTTTGTACCAGAGCGATGTTGGAAAACAGCTCCAATGCGGTCTATCCCATTCAGGAGAATCACCTTGGTGCAACACGTCGTGGTGCTATGTCAACGACTCAAATTGCATTGTGGACTGGGACTGGGGTGTGTTGGGCCCCTATTCCTATGCCACCTGCGGGAACCTGCGACAGGGGAGTGACAAGTACTTCCAAAAGTCGCTGGCCGCGTTTCTGCAGGATGATCCTCTCCGGGTCTTCCACCCAGTGAGCACTTTGGAAGGAGCCTACTTGGGAAACACCGAGTGCCACGAGCACTATGATGCTGAATACCTGACACATCAGAAGTGCAAAGGTGTCGTAGCAGAGTTTTGGGCAAGATCACTGGATGAGCTCAACAGTAACGAGTACCAAGTTAAAGTCGACCATACAATCATCAGAAGGGTTGAGAATGACATCGAGAATGGCATCGACCAATATTTCATTGTCTCGAACCTCACAAAAGCTTTTGAAGAGTACCAGGGAAAATTTCGGGAGAACTGGACTGAGAGGCCTTCCAACTTTGATCTGTGCGCCTTCGCAACAGGAATGGGTTATGTGGACTTGTGCTCTGGGGCATTCGCCTTGACTCATCGGCGGCAACAAATGACCTTCATGATTGAGTTGTACACCTCTCCAGTCTTCATGGTATCCAAAAGCATGTGTGACTTCCTTGCGTCAGACGACTTCGGCTCTGAAAAATTTTGGTTGTGGTGGGTTTTTGTCTTTAGTCCCGGAGCTTGGGGTTTCTTCGTCTGCGTCGTATTCTCCTTCATTGTGGCCATGAAATGCCTCGACCATTGCCTCGACGAACAATCCGGATCAGCACCCGGGGCAGCAGGAGCAGAGGCAGCAGCAGCGGCAGCAGGAGCAGCGGCAGCAGGAGCAGCGCCAGCAGGAGCAGAGGCAGCAGGAGCAGCGCCTGTAGGAGCAGCGGCAGAAGGAGCAGCGCCTGCAGGAGCAGCGGCAGCAGGAGCAGCGCCAGCAGGAGCAGCGGCAGCAGGAGCAGCGGCAGCAGGAGCAGCGCCTGTAGGAGCAGCGGCAGCAGGAGCAGCGCCTGCAGCAGCAGCGGCAGCAGGAGCAGCGGCAGCAGGAGCAGCGCCAGCAGGAGCAGAGGCAGCAGGAGCAGCGCCTGTAGGAGCAGCGGCAGCAGGAGCAGCGCCTGCAGGAGCAGCGGCAGCAGGAGCAGCGCCTGCAGGAGCAGCGGCAGCAGGAGCAGCGCTCCCCCAAGCGCCACAATCCGGAGAAGAGCCTGAAGAGCAGGGACGCGTGAAGAAGTTCTGCAAGTGCTTCTGCTGTTTGACTGATGCCCTTCTTGGTGTGTTTGAGGCTTTCGCCTTCCAGTCGAAAACCAGCCACAGGAGGGACTCGAACAAACCAAGCCGCACTCGTCCATCCCACGTGCTGCGCTTGGGCCTGGGCTTCTTCATTGTGTTGAGCCTGGCAGTGTATGGGGCCAAAATCACTGCAGAGATGGTCTCAGCAAAACAGGTGAAAGGAGAGGTACCAAACTTGGAGAAGGCAAACACAGGACCAAATGAGGTCAAAGTGTGCACCCACTCAGTTTTCAAAGAATCCCTGGAGCTCCACGGGAGTGAAAAAATCGTGCCAGTATATTCGGATACCTGGAAAAAGCTCTTGGAGAACTTGGAGGATAAAAAGTGTACTGCTGCACTTTTGGATGATGAGGCTTGGAACGCTTTTCGAAGCCGCGAAAAGCTTTGTGACTTTTACAAAGAACAAACAGCCGATTTTTACGTGCCTACAGGAGTTGTCGTATCCAAGCGAGCTTATCGGACTCTCGAAACCTTCCGATTCGATACCCTCAAAACTGCAGTCTTCTTTGACAAGTCAAAGGTGCCCGGACATGCTTGCCACCGTCCAAACTCAGCAGAGGTTGTTTGTGACAACATCATCAAGGACGGCGTGCCATGGTATATGCTTTTCAGCCTCTTCGTGGTGGCAGCCGCTTGCGCTGTGTGTAGCTGTATTGCCATTTACTTCCGTGGAGAAGATGAGGAGAATGAAGAGGAGAAGAAGGAGGTCAAAAGGGAGGAGGACATGAGAGCAAACATTGATGAGCGCCTTGAGCGCATAGATGAACGTATAGACCGTATAGATAAGAAAATGAAAATGGCAAACATTCAGCGTCTTTTCGACCAGAAATCTTACCAGCGATCGCAGGAGGTTGCCGGCCCTCCCGCACCGGATGCAACACCAAAAAGCCAGGATCCCGAAAATCCGACGGATGCTGCCCCTAGCAACCCCTTACCAACTTCTTTGAAGAAAGAGTTCAGGCATCCAGACCAAACAGCAGGCGCCAAGTGAGTTCTTGAGCATGCACAGGGCTCAGCTGACTCCCCATGCTTTTAACACGAGTGAAGCTCCTTTCTCGATTTTCGTAGATGCATGGTCGACTCAGACAGGAGTAGAAATTCATTGCCTAGGATGCTTGACAGCGTGCAGAAACACGCTCTGAAAGCTGACTGGAAGGAGTTCATGCTCCGTCCGGAATCCAGTTTGAATTTACAGGTAGCTGGTTTAGGAACCTCGTTTTGGGGATCGGATTATCTGTATAGGGTCTAGATCTGTAGTTTTTTTTTTGAGGGGGAAGGCTTCCTTTTATTTTGTGGTTACCGTTTGTAAACAACACACGTGTTTGTTCGACAACGTTAAACGACATGGTCAGACTCACCTTCCTTAAAATGTTTTTGCCCCAAGAACCTGCGCCAAAAAAACACCGCCAAATCAAAAAGTGCCAAATTTCCACCGGATCATTGGCAAAATGCAAAGGAATACCAAACCAAAGAGCAGGTTACATACATTATATAGTCAGCCGTATTTTGTTCGCCAAATCACGACCGATGCGCCAATAAATTGCCACTGGACCTGAGTTGCCAATTGCTGGCACCTGAGCAACGTACAAGAGACAAAGGCTCATTGACTGAAGTGTTTTGGGAAGACAACTGGGAAAAAATCAAAAGGCAGAATTGAAACTTTGAGCCGCGCGTGCATCTAACGCAAGAACAAATTGTCAATACGGGGTCAGAAGTACATGCTTGAACGTGAAGCGTGCACACTGCTTCAGGACCCACCTATATTTGAACATACTTCCCCCTCACTGTGTGTTTCATTTTTACAAGATTTTGGCAAAATTGGGCAAAGTTGAGGTTTCATTTTTGTGTTTTTCAAGCTTCATTTTCAATTGCTTTCAACATTCCTGGGGGAATTTGAGCAAACATGTGGTGATTGAGAAACTGTAGGGTAATTTTGGAGAAAATAGAGCAGCATTGGGCAGAATTGAGGAAAAAACATGGGCCATACTGTAGGTCCCCTGGTGATGTTGGGGAAAATTAGGCAAACTTGAGAAACATTGGGGCTCCATTCACGCCTGTTGCACGCTCGTCAAATCCAAAGTAAGGCAGCATCGTAAAAGATTTAAAAGATACAACCACTACATATTTGCACCATACACATGGACCATACACGCCTCAAAAGTCAAAGCTCTCCGTTCCAATGAATTCTAGACGCTGTTACACGATGTTACACGCACCAACGCGTTGAAATATTGTGATGCCATCAACTTTGAACGGCTGGACATTTTCAAAAAAACTGATCCCAATTTGCTACCTGAGGAACAGGTTGAGCTAGAAATGGATCAAATCACTGCCTTAATCACGCATGGGTAGATAAAACATGATATAAACATGATATTTAGCCAATGTAAACTGAAATTGTGTTTTGCATTTCTTTTTGATGCCTGCTCGTTATGTTTAGCGAGAAACCATATTACCTCAATTTTCTTCAAAACCTGCGCCAAAAGCATTTAAAAAAAACAATCCTTCAAAACATGCCTGATCTAAACCCTGCCTGATCTCGACCCCAAGACGAGATGGCTGACTGATTTAAGCTGTATAGAGATTCATTTCAGCTTTATATCGATGACTTGCAAAGCAACACAATGTTGATGCAAGTGCGTGTTCCTACAGAGGAATGCACGAGGCCATTTTGCACTATAGCCCGTGGTTTGAGAATGTGCAAAGGGCTGCGGTGGAAAATTCTTCGCATGGATGTTTTGCATTGCTTGCACGTATTTTTAGTTCCTGCCACTTTGCGCCAGAAGGACAAATAGTATCAACCACGTCTTTTGCATTGTTCTCCATGTCCAGGTGCAGAATATGCAATAATGCGCTACGCACACCAGCAAATACTCAGGACCTCCATGTCGTGTTTGCTGAGACTCATTCTGTTCGATATTTGCCTGGCCTTTTTTGCCCAAGAAGTGAAAGCTGGTTGAATCCCGCAGCAGCCAACTCAGCTTCGACGCTTTCCCGTGGCCAAGGCTGAATTCCTGGGCACTCGTCAGATCTCGTCAGATCTCGTCAGCCAAGGCCCTAGCCCTCGATTGGCAGAATGGCCCGCCGACCTGCGATCTTCGTTCTGGCCGCCGCCGTCCTAGACTCAGACCTCTTGCGCTACTGATTACGCCATTTTCGACTCAAAAAATCGAATGAAAACACAGAGACCGTACATCAGCAGAGACGTCAAAATTCGAGTTCGGACCTTGGCCGCAACTTATGATGCGTCCCAAGGCATGCGTTTGGCTCTTCTCCGCAAGCATCTCCAGCCCTGAGCAGGAGGTGAAGATCTGTCCAGAATTTGGATTTGTGCTGAATCCGTGCGCTTTCAGCGCATTGGACGGATTTGCGAAGGATGTACTTTGTAGGAACTTCGAAAATGTTGCCACACGGAGCGGAAACAACTCTTCGCCTTCGAAACATGGAAGGTCTTCGTTGTCCAGACCCCTGCCCTGCGTGGCCAGGCCTCTCCAACAGCGATTGGTCGGTAGTTAGTTGTTGGGTGTGTGTTGGGTGATCATTGCGGCTATCCTGCTGCAGGGAATGTTTGCTTTAAACTCTAAATGTTTGGTCTTTCAGGGTGCCTTCACTGGCGGCACCGTGGAGATCTCTGCAGTTGACTCCCCTGTGGTGTTGAAGGCAACCGATGCAGCAAGTGGAGAGTGTTTAAACAGTTGTCTTTGGTGCATTCCTGTAGAGCGTGTAGAAAGCCAGGGACAAGGTGATAAGACTGATAAGATTTGCCTCATGTGATATATGATGCGAGGAATGTCAGCCTGGAAAACATGTTTCTTTGAGATTCATTCGGATTGTCGCAGGCCCTGCCTGAGCCACGCCCCAACGATGCCATGCTGCCAGCAAGAATCTCAAGCCTATGGCAATGTATATTAGTTGCTTATGCTGCCGCAAGGTTGGATTGGAATTGTAATCATGCTGCATTCGCCAAGAAAGGAAGTTCAGGCTGTTGAAAGATTTCAGTAGGCCGTAGGCGTTTTGGTGAGGTCGAGCTGAACCGAACCTCCTTGTACTGGGGCTTGCTGCTGATCTGCATCCTCTCGGCTTTGGTCTTAGTGTGCATAGAAGTATTGCTTACCACGTTTTTCTTTCAAAACCTGGAGAAGCTTCGACACTCTTTTTTTTGTTACTTCAAGACGTCATGTTATGTCATGTTATTTGAACTGAACTATCCAGGTCCTCTTCTCCAGCTACTTCTTCAACTGAGCCGCGATCCCTTTTAAAGATCTTTTTGAGCTTGACATGTCTGCAGGTTCAGTGCGAGCGTCTCGCTGACTGCGGAAAGAGACGGAAGCCTCTCAGAGGATCGCGAGCGAAAATGAAAGTTGATCAAGTGTCAGTAAGTACTGTAACTGGAATCATTCAGCCTTGCTCTCCCCAGACAACATGCTGAATTGCCAAGCCTGTGGACGTGGATGGGAGGGAAAATAGGGACTTGTGGCATCTTGTGGCTGACTTGTCAATGCAGCTGCTCGAGCCAGATGATGGAACTCTGCCCCTTTTGTCGAAAGATTGCAAGTCTGAAGACATGCTTCCAATATCTTCCAATATCCCTCGATGTTTTCAAGATTGACTTCAATCTTTTCCAACATTTTCCACATGTTTCGGCAGCATTTCCACGTTCCCTTTGTGGAATCCCTGCGTTTCATCATCCGTTCCCATTTCATTTGGGTCTCGTTTGGCCGCCATGCTGCCTTCGTATCAGAGTGGCCGATCTGTGCCAGAGGAAGCCGCGCTGACAGGAGGGAAAACTCTGCCCGACATTTTTCAGAGGTATCATGCTGGTATCCCAGAATAATCAGATTGTGATAATATGTTGGGATTTGATATCCATAATGCAATACATATGATGTTATGGTTACCGAACACTATAATATGATATATGAATATACCAGGGATATCATGGGATTATGTAAGAATATCCATGAGATTCTTGCATATAAGGTATTCTGTAGATATTCCATAGATATCCCTGGTATCCCCAAATTTTGACTCGGAAGATGTTTTTTATTTTTTTTGGCCATGTGGCCAATGTCGGGGATTGGTCATGCCGTGGGTTTGTTGTTTTTTGGGGTCTGACAAGGTTGAACGTGAGACGACTAAGACATGACATATGCAAGATGCTTTTCCATGCCATTGCAGGAGCTGTGGTTGAGCATCGCTTGCATGTTTGAGAGAGTGCATCAATTTTATTCATTTTCTCAAGTTCAAAACCTGGCTCATTTGATGGATTTACAGCAGCAGTTTCGCCAGGCAGCAACCGCATTTGTACATGTTTTCTTGGCTCGTAGAAAAAGTTGAGATCAGCTGAAGTGGATGATTCTGGATGACTCAGTGATGATTCAGTGGTTGGTTCCACCCTACACATTTCCTACAAATTGCACCACTAGAGGGAAGAATGCTGACATGTGAAGAAGTTCTGCATTGAAGTCGCATCGATTTTGATCAGCCAAGATGATGAGATGACCCAATTAATAATTAGACCTCAAGAAATTTCACCAAACATGTAACATGCCTTTCAGTAGGAAGGCCATGTATCGCTGTCGGGCCGACTATCTCTTGCGCTGGGTGTGCCTTGGGAGTTTGGTGCAACTTGGTGCTTGGTGCAGAAATGCCAACTTCACAGGTTTCAGAAGCACAGCTCGAGTCCCAGACTCCCAGTTGATGCAGGCCTCACGTGAAGAGATGCTTCTCACTGGTGAAGGTGTTCGTGTGATGACAGGTTTAACTGCTGTAAAGCAGGAGGATATGTATGCGAACACAGCCATTGCCCTTGCTGGTGTTGCATTTTTTGCATACATGTCCTATGTCTTTTGGACCCGCATCGCTTTTGGCAAACCCTTTGGCACGGCCGAACCGGTGATCATTCCGAAACCGGAAGACGCCTTTGCCCCAAAAAAGAAACGCCCAGTGGGCATCAAGGGCAAGGTGTCCATCGGCCTTGATTCGGACACCAATCGTGGCAGGAAAGTCTTGGGGTTGGATGCCCTGATTTTCGCCTACATCATGTTTGCCTCGGCTGCTGCCATGCTAGTCTTTGGGGTTGCGGCTGCTTATTATCCAATCATGAGTGGTCAAATTGCCATGGGCAGCTAAAAGCATGCAGCCATTTTTCGAGTCTTCAGTTCCGTGTGTACTGGAGTCACTCCCATGGTAAATTTGTTTCTGACCGAATTTTCGGCTGAAATGGCCCCAGGGTTCCAAGACAGCAGTCATTGCATGTCAATGCGTGGCTGCAATATGCTGCAATGTACATAGCCGCTACGTGCGCGCGGAATGTCATGGTAAAATATGTGCCGCTACGTGGAATGGTTGCAGTACAGCGCCTCAGGTCCATCAAGATGTTTCCTTATCCGAGATGCAGCAGTTCTTCACTCCATTTGAGCATCAAATTTCTAGCCAATCATCCAAGATGTATCAAGATGAATCAGGATGAGTCAAGATGAATCAAAATGAATCAAGATGAATCAACATAATTCGATCCAGTTTTGCCCTAGTTTTGCCGTCATGATGTCAGGCTCTACAAAGTGCGCGTTGAGCCTCGCTGCAAGCTGATTCAATGGAAGGTGGGAGCAGCGTTCGCTTCACGTGGGCAATGCCATAGGCGGACTTAATGATGGGAGAATTTGCAGGTAAACCATTGGAAAACTCGGAAAACCCGATATTTTTGGGATTTAAATGGATTCAGTTCTGTGGTTTCCTGTAGTTTTTCCTTGCCGTATAGGATCTTAGATCTTATAAGCAGATCCCTTGATTGCGAGCCCTGCAGGTCTACAAGTTGTTTGGATCCACCTACTCTGTACATTCCTCAGTGCGTCATAGCGTGTGGGACCAGCCCAGCCGGGTTCGCCCAGGTGTCCCACTGCAGGTGCTGCAGATCCGTGATGGAGCTCATCAAACTCCTGGGCTCCTTCTGGACCCAGATGTCAAGAGCGCCAAGAGGAGAGGGAACAACCGGGAACAACCGGGAACAACCAAGTGATTCTCCTTTGTAATCGTCTTAAAGATGATCAAAGCAGAACCATATATTATATAACCATATGAAAATAAAAAACATAACATCTGGTGATGACTGCAAATGTTGAAGTGCATGAGTGCATGAGTGAGTCGGTCCGCTGCCGTTGGTTCAAGAGAGCTGAGAGACACGTGACGCACCGAGTTTTTTTCGAGTCAGGGCCTCAGATTCCGAGATTTCCGAGGACGTCAGAGCATCAGCAACTTCCAAATTCCAAAAATGACGGCAGTTCCATGCAATTCCCAACATCCCAACATCATTCCAACATCATCCCAAGGCCATTCCAACATCCCAGGCTTGTCCACAGAAATGGCCCGCCGACCTGCGCTCTTCGTTCTGGCCGCCGCCGTTCCGCACTCAGACCTCTTGTGCTTCTAATTAAAACATTTCCGAGTTAAATTTTCGGATTGAAAAGAAATACAGAGGTGTCTAAAGTCTTGAACTTCAGGGGCAGAAGTTGCTTGCTGCCACTTGCTGCCCGCCTCGTGATGGGTCCGACGTCTCCTGAGGCCTGCGTTTGGCTCTTCTCCTCAAGCATCTCCAGCCCTGAGCAGGAGGTGAAGACATGGCAAGAAGAATTCGGATTTGTGCTGAATTGGTGCACTTTCAGCACATTGGACGGATTTGCCAGGGATGGTGGCTGAAATTAGTGTAGGAACTTGGGACATGTTGGCTGCGCTTTTCATAGGTTGTGACCTTTTCACTTTCGAAACACGGAAGGTCTTCGTTGTCCAGACCCCTGCCCTGCGTGGCCAGGCCTTTCTGGGTTTGTACATGTTGTGAGTGAGAGAGTGACAGGGTCATTGCAGGGGCAGGTGATTCTTCTTCACTCCTCGAGCAGCGATTGTGGATGATTGGGTCATGCTGCACGAAATGTTTGCTTTGGACTTTTTGGCTATCCGTCCGTCTGCGTCATTCTTTCATTTTGTGACCTGATGTGACCTGATGTGACCTTTCAGGGTGCCTTCGCTGGCAACACTGTGGAGATCTCCGCGGTTGACTCCCCTGTTGTGTTGAAGGCCAGCCCATTGGTAAAGAGTCAGTCTTCAGCAGTCTACTTTGGTGCATTCCTGTATAGAGCATGAGGAAAATTGTAGAAAACCAGGGGCAAGGTGATAAGATTTGCCTCATGTCATGTGACATCTGATGTAAGGATGATGCGAGGAATGTCAGCCTGGAAAACATGTTTCTTTGAGATTCATTCGGATTGTCGCAGGCCCTGCCTGAGCCACGCCCCAACGATGCCATGCTGCCAGCAAGAATCTCAAGCCTATGGCAATGTATATTAGTTGCTTATGCTGCCGCAAGGTTGGATTGGCATTGTAATCATGCTGCATTCGCCAAGAAAGGAAGGTCAGGCTGTTGAAAGATTTCGTAGGCCGTAGGCGTTTTGGTGAGGTCGAGCTGAACCGAACCTCCTTGTACTGGGGCTTGCTGCTGATTTGCATCCTCTCGGCTTTGGTCTTAGTGTGTAGAAGTCATGAGAGTATCACTTTTCACCACTCTTGGTTCAAAACGCGGAGAATCTCCGAATTTCGTCTCTCTGCTTGAAGATGTCACGTTGTTTGAACCCAGGTGCTGTTCTCCAGCTACTTCTTTAACTGAGCCGCGATCCCCTCGATTTTTTTTGAGCTCCACAAATCTGTGCAGTTTCCACGGCGATCGTCTCGCTGGCTGGGCAGACAGGAGCCTCACAGAGGATCGCGACGATGAAAAAAGATCGAGTTCGCTTCACTTTGCCGCACCATTCACATTGCACAGCAAGCTTGGAGGCTGAATGCCGTTGGTCATGTCAATTTCATCAACTTCTTGTGCATTGGATTTCGCCAGAGAAAGGTAGGATGGGTTTTGAGTTCAAATCCTACTAGAAATCGTTTAAATCGCAGGGAACTCACAATTTGGGATGTAAAATGATATGATCTTAACTCTGAACTTACCACATCTAATTGACATATATATATATATTGACATATGTGAACCCAATTTTCTCCACTCATCTTGGATCTTGGTCCAGGACCTTCTCTGTACTGCTGGAAGCACCTCGGCGTTCGAGAGCGGTTTGCCGTGATTTTCTTATGGGTGGCTTTCCTTCGAATGGGCATTTTGGGTGTCCATATCACGTTACAGTAATATGTGTTGATATGAAAACAATTGAAAACATATACGTTTTTTCTATTGTATTCTTTAAACACATCACATGGGCAACCTCTAGATTGACTGATTTCCTTGAAACATCAAGGTCACAGGGTGCCACAGGATGCCAAAGGATACCATCTTGTACCCCTTCGATAAGATCGGATGGTCAAAGA